AATTTTATCAATTGGCAACTCTGGCTGTCAGGAATCATCTGTCATAGTCAAATTGGTGCATATTGGACAATTTAAGGTTATTTTTAGTTGTTAGTTTGATTGAAGTTTATGTGATTTATTTTAATTTCAAGCATCTGTGCTTTATTTAATTTTTATATATTTGAACTTAATAATAATCAGTAAGTCATTAATTTTAAATAAAGGATTTTATGTTTTTTTTTCTGTTTATGTAAAGACACCAAAGTGTAGTCTTTTTTTAAAGTTCTTAAATTAAATTTTCAACTATGGGTAAAAAATGTGATATGACACCAACAAAAGTTAGTCAAATTAGATGTTTTTTACAGAATACAAAATATTGTAAAGGTTTCTCACCAAACTGTAATGCGAGTGAGAAAAGTAATTGATACAGGGGAAGAATTTGGTCCAAGGAGACCACCTTCTAAACAAAAGACAACACCAAGAGCGGATCGTATTATCCGGAATATATGCCTGGAAAACAGAAAAAAGCCACAAAATGTTTAGACTAAGCTTATCCATGAAGCTGGTATTGCTGTGTCAGACCGGACCATTCTCAAAAGGCTGAACTGAAGAGGGATTGATGTGTCATCGTCCAGTCAAGAAACCAAAGCTGACTTCACTCATGAAAAAAAAGAGACTGGAGTGGGCTCGAAACTATCGTCACAGGTCTGTTGAGGATTGGAAAAAGTATTTTTATTCGCATTCATAAACTATTTTAAATATGTTCATAAATGTTATAATTTAAAATAAGTATTATTTTAGATTTGCTTTTCTGATGAATCAACTTTTCAAGTAATGATGAACAAAAATGCTTTTGTTCGTCGTAGAACAAACGAAAAGTTTCATCCTGACTGCATTGTGGAAACAGTCAAGCATCCAGCTTCAGTAATAATCTGGTCTGTCATTTGTGGGTAAGGAGCAGGGCGTCTCTACAAAGTAGTTGGGAGGCAGGACCAGTATAAAGAAGTTCTGGAGAACCAGTTGCTTCCTCAAATGGCAGATTGGTCTAAAAATGTCAAAAAAATTCAAAAGAAGTCCAAAAATGTCAAAAATCTTATATTTATGCAAGATGGTGCAACTTGCCACACAGCAAAAAGTGTTATGGCTTTTTTAAAATAGAAAAAAGTAGATGTATTGCCATGGCCAGGCAACTCACTTGATCTTAACCCCATAGAAAACATTTGGGAAATAGTAAAGCGCGATACTGGAAAAAAATTTTTTACTAACAAGCAAGATCTTATGGAATATATTATCAGGATCTGGCACAATAACCCAGAGTTGACAGAAACTATAAAAAATTCAATTGCAAGCATGCCACAATGAGTCGAAGCAGTTATTGCAAATAAAGGCGGTTATACAAAATATTTATACTTAATATATACTTTATATAATTTATCAGGATCAGTGATTGAATTATATGATTTTTTAATAATTTTCGTTGGAATATCTGAATAACCACAGCTGCTTTTTTCCTTTAAGTTTTTGATCGCATCGACGATTTCATATTTATTAATAGAAAGAAATGAGAAATTTAATTTTTTCAAAATCTTATTAGCAATTTTAAGGTTATTGAAAAGATTGTTAATAAAATTAAAAGAACCATTAAGTACACAATCGGAATTAGATTTGAATGTACTAAAGAACTTGTTGAAAAATAATGACTTTTCAACTTTTGAGTAAGTCTTCTTGCTGTTGTAAAGTTTTTAATCAGGAGAGGGAGTATCTTCAAGGCTTGATTTAATTTTTATGAACTTTGAGTAGAAACCATAAAAGTCTTGTGAGTTATTAAAATTTCGACATACACACACATACACTTACTTATAATGTCAAAAAATCTAATAAATAGATTTTTAATAAGTGTTAATTTTTCGTTTCTTAATTTAATAAAATCTCTTCTCGTTTTTTTAAACATTTAAAAAATTGATAAATCATTCGTTTTTACGTAATCAAATCGATAATCGTTGCGCAATTTTTTCAGATTTTTCAACTCTCGATCGAACCATTTTTTGTTGTCTTTATTCTTGATGTGTATTTTTATTCTCTTTTTTGGTTAAGATATTTAAAATGTTGAGTTATAAGTAGTTCCACATGTTGGTCGAGTTGTCATTTATTTTGAACAGTATGTTTGAGTTATTGATTGATACAGTTATTGATTATTACATTAAAATAAAGTTATTTCCTTTACTTTAATATAAACTTATTACTCTAATTTTTACCAATGAAATAAATATTATATTATTATTATCAACATAAAAAAAATTAATCAACATAAAAAAAAAAATCAATGCTCCTCTATTTTAAAGTTGCAACACAATAATAACGATAGTAATAGTAATAAACACTTTGTTAAAAGCGAGAAGTATAAGCGAAATGAGAAGTATAAGCAAAAATATTTACTTTATTAAGAGACTGATGTCACATAACGGTTACATTGGATTTATGCAAAATGTTAAAAAACTACCGCTCAAAGTTTAATCAATTTAAACACTCTTAATTGACTGAAGATTAGTTTGCTGGTTATTTTAAAAATGCAGCGTAACATTATTTTTGTGTGAAAAATACCATTCTAAAATGAATGGAAAAAGGACGATGTCCTTTTTCCATTCATTTTTGAATGGAAAGGTTGCGCATTAGAGAAGCTATTGCGTGCTTATAAAGGGTTTGTTAAGTTGCTGTAGGTCTATTTTTCAATATTTGTAATAGTACAAAAGTTTATCTCTCTAAAAAAATAAATTGCTATACAAATATATAATGAAACTTTTGTAGAACTTTTAAAATATTTTATTTTTTTGCAAACTAGGAAGAAATTTTAAATTTTCATTAATTGAACATTGATTGTGACATTTTTCTTCAGATATTTATTAAAACTAAAAAATTTTTAAATCACATCGTTTTTTAGGAACATTAAAATCATCTAAAAAAAAATTAACGTATAAAAATATAAACGTCTCTTTAAACCAATTGTAATACCATTGAAAAAGATGTACTAGCCAAATAAAATATTAAAATTCTAAGACAAGACGGAATGTCATTCATTGAAAAATAAAAAGTTAGAAAACTTTGAAAAAACATTGCTCGGTTTAAAAGCTACTTATCTAACAATAAAACAATATGCTTCATTCAGTAATCAAAAAACTAGCAATATTTTTTTTCTTCTGGATATTGAGGTGCTCTTAAAAGATTTTTTTTCACAGAGCACCACTTTTTAGATTGTTATCAAATGAACAACACCGACGGTGACCTTAAAAGTGATTTACAAGTAGAGCGCATAAGTGACGCGTCTCTAATACACCAAAACATAATTTAACAAAAAGAAAATTTTAAAAGATGAACAGATAAATATATTTTAAAATTTATATGCCTAAAATTATTAATAAGAAAATATCAAAAATCCTCATTTGTTTAATAAAAATATTAGAGTATTTAATGTCTCAAGTAAAATGGTCAGAAATGATTTATAACCATACCCAGATCTTGATCAATTCAAACAAAAGCTAAAACTATTAATATCTATGAACAAATAAGGTATTATTTCTAAAACTTCTTTAGTAATAACTTTAAAAAAGTAATATATAATGTATTTTTCAGTTATTAGGCTGCTCCATAAAGGCCTTACACAGTTTTACCACAGATCGCTGGGGAAGAGTACTTAATCAGGAGATTCACGCGTCCTACTCTTATCAAGCTTGTTTTACCAGAGCCGTCGTTAGACTAAGCCTAATGACTCAAAGCCTGAACCATTGAATTCAAAACTTTTTGATTTCTAATTTTTTTAACTTTTTTATTCATTATTTGAACAAATATTACTTTTTCATTTTTGATGAAATCTAATTACTTATCTAAATTTCACAAAAAAACATAAGCTTCAAACTCAAAAGTACATTTATAAAATATTCTCTATGTTTATTGCATGTTTATAAATTGAATTGGGTGACCATTACAGCAACGTCAGTAAACAGTGCCCAGCGGACACAAACATCCGTGGGACGTTTATACGACGTTTTATAGATCACAAGTCCGTAGTGCGTTTTTAAGGCGTCCAGCGGACGTTCTGTGCCCGCTGGGTGATGCCCAGTTGTTTTTTTGGCTCTCGTTTTTTAGCTTCATAGATTCATACAATTCTATAAAACATACTCATTTTAAAATTTTTAAATGTTCAATAAACCAAGTAATTTTCTCTGATCAATTAAAAATAGCTAAAATTTCTCCTATATTTAAAGGTGGTGAATCATTAAATGTCAGTAAATATGGGCCAATATCTGCCTTCTCTGTTTTTTCAAAAATTTAGAAAGAATTTTGTTCAACCAAATATCTCATCATCTTGGTATGAAAGATATACTTTACAAGAATTAATACGGTTTCAAAAGAAATAACTCTGAGAATACAATAATTCATTTCACTCATCTAAAAGGTCAGAATTTACTTTAGGCGTCTTTATAGACTTATCTAAGGCTTTTGATACTATTGACTATAAAACATTGTTTTTTTTTAAATTTATTTCGTCACTACATAAACATTTTACATACATTTAACTTTAAATACATTTACAAATATAAATATATTTATATATATACATTTGTAAATAATTAAAATAATGACTGGAACAAGTAAGGCTGTAGTCTTACCATCAAGCCCCTTTTGTTCGCAACCTTACTATTCGTTTTCTCGTGAGATAAAAAAAAAAGTTTAATAACATAAAAATTCATAAATAAATAAGAAAACAAAAAAACAAAGCCATATACGTTACGATCAAAGGTATTTGTATAATAAAATAATAATTATTTGTAGTCGTTATGGTGCCAAATGGGATAAATTATTTTTAGTTAAATTGTTATTATTAATTTAATCTTCAAAAATAAGAGAATATGTTGGCGTTATTTAAGAAAATGTTGGCGTCATGCCAAATGTTGACGTCATTTAAGTCAAATAATTGCTGTTTAATTTTCAAAATATTATGGTAGCCAATTGTTTTGGATGTTATGGTATCACTGATTGAGCTGATAAACTTTTTTATGATTCGAACGTTGAACTATCAAAAATCTCTGACTGGTTCAAATCTAATAAACGTTCACTCAATATTGATAAAACTAAATGGACACTCTTTCATTTAAGGTTAAAAAAAAAATTACTACCAAGTGATATGCCTCATCTTCATGTTAACAATATTCAAACAAAAAGAATAATGTTTAAAAAACTTTCCGGGAATTATTTATAGATAAAAATCTATCGGGGAAGCTTCACATCGGACACTTATGCAGCAAAAATGCAAAAAGTAATGGAGTATTATCTAAAGCGAGAAGCGTTATAAACAAACATTTACTAACTCAATTTATTACTTTTTGATAAACTGTCAAATTTTTTATTTTTTTTAGGTTTTTAAGGTACTTCCAGATATCCTTACGGTTTTGTCACAGAGCACCGGGGATGAGCATTTAGCTAGAAAGTTCACGCCTTCTTCCTTACCAATGTCGCTTGTTAAGCTAGAGTCGGCGTCGAACCTTGGAGATCTCCAGCTTCTAATCCTGAATTGGAATTATTATTTGTTCAAAAGACAAATAAAAAAGTATTTTTTTTTTAAATAAAAATATACTTTTATGCTTTTAAATTATATCCAGTTTCATTATACACAGAAATATATTTTTGTACATATAAATTTGAAATGTGAGTAATTTATTTAACTGCTATTATTTGACTTTTTTAAAAAGTTGCAATGCTATTAACTGTTTGTAAGTTTATTTTGTATGTTATTTTTTTCGTTTATACGGCATCTACTCAGAGCGTCTGCGTTTCGCTTTGTTTATATTATTAGACATTATTTGCCATGTTTTATTTTGATCATAATTTATAATCGTGTATTACAATATTTATATACTTTAAAATTAATTTTAATTTTAGAATGTAAAGATAATATAAAGATCAGGTGGTTTCCTGTACACGTTTTATTTATACAGTAGACTTTTATTATTAACCAAATTTTATTTTTACATGAATTAAAAGTATTTTATTGTTAACTTTATATAGTTTTAACATTAAACTAATTTTTTAATAAAAAGAAAGTAATAATAATAATACTGAAAAAAGGTAAAAAGAAAAAGTCAATAAAAATATTCAAGGTAGCCTAAAGTAGTAACGCAACATTTTTACATTTTGTTGCTTATTATTATGTAAATAACATTTTGTTATTATATTTTTGAAAAAATATTTTTTTTATATTTATGCTTTTTTTATTAACTAGTATGATTGTTTAGCTGTAAAAATATCATAGATTTGTTTTTTTCAACTGAAATATTATTTTTTGAAGAAAGGTACTAATGGCGATTTAAGCCTCATATGCATCCTATAACCCTCAGTCACAATTTTTTTTATATTTTGCTATTCATAACGCAGTTAAGTTAAAGATATGATAAAAGGAATCATTATATTATTTATTGAACTTTTTATTACAAATAAGTGTTATCTAATCATTTTGTCGCTTTAGCTAAATGATGCATACCCTTCTTTACACAAAGTGCATAGGTTAATTTTTATGATGACTTCCTTTGTCACAGTGCTTATGGAACTAAGTTTTGCACGCATTGAATCCAATCGTATTTTTTTTCTTTTGTTGTGGTAAAAAAGTCCACAATTACCACAAAACATATCTTTATCACTCTTACTTTTTTTTTTAAATAATTTTAGAGTTTTTTTCGAATTATGTTTCGTGACCATTTTTGTGTGAGTCGGCCCGGGTATTTTAGTCATTTTATCCTCAAATAAAGCTCAATCAAAAAATCAAAAAAATGCACGTTTATGGATCTTTTAATTGTTTAATTTTTTAATTATTTTAGTTGATTGAATAATTGCACGGATACTAGATGCAGGCTTTGAAGATCCAGGTTCCAATGTACTAAACTTGTAAACATCAAGATTTTCAACGCTTGTACGATTAGAAACTTCAATGGGAGCAAAAGCTACTTGCGATATAATACTAGGGTTGAAAGTATAGATTCCGTAAATCTGAGTTATGATGTGGCATTTACTGGTGTAGCGGTACGCAACTATGCTTCAGTAAATAATAGTGGAAAAATCAGTTTTGACATTATCTATTTAGTGTTACCCAAGACACCACCCTAACTTATTGGTTACAGGATTTTTAAAAATACCATAAGTTCAATATTTTCTAAGTCTATTTGACAATTATTGATTTACATTTCGTCAGGTTAGAACTATTTTGTTCTATCTCTACATTTTTTTGTTTTGAGATAAAACGTATGCAACCATGCGTCGTTCTTGCAAGTTTCTTCGGAAATTATCAATTGCAACATTTCAGTAAGTTTTTAACGCTTTGGAAACACTTTTGTCCAGAGGTTAAAGTTCATGATTACAATGCGCTGAAAGAAAAAACATATTGATGTTTTTTCTGCGTCCTCTATTACAGTAATATCTATATAACTGCAATGTCTGTCACAAATCAATATAGCTTTTTCTGGTAATTGGTACTGGTTAAAATGACGAAAAAAAGTAGAAATTCTTCCTTAGTAATATATAATTTTGAAGTCATGCGAAAAATACTTCCGAGTCAAATTATCCCCGTTTTCATGTTTCAAAGTTTTGCCTCTATAAAAATCACATGTGGAATCCAGTAGGCTTCAGTAGCGTTTGTACATGAAACTAAGGTAATACCCAGCCAACATTGACATACGGGTACCGTACGGGGCCCATACGGGTCGTCAACTGGGTCCCGTATGGGAAGACCAACGGTATCCCGCCGGATCATGACCGCGGTTTCCATATGGGACCCATATGGGTTAGCCCGCCGGGTATCCCGTATGGGTCCCAGTCAAATCCCGTACTTTAAAACCGTAAGGGACCCATTTGGGTTTGCAAATGGGACCCATATGGGAAACCCATCGGGAACCCGCCGGATCATGGCCGCGGTTTTCTTCTGGGGCCCATATGGGTATGCCCGCCGGGTATCCCGTGAGGGTCCCACGAGGTTTACCCATTGCAAATCTTGCAAAACTACGTTTAAATGTTTAAAATTTACAGAAAAAGCAAATTTATATATAATCTGATTGGTTTATTTCAAAAAAAATAGTAATTAAAATTACACTGTCAGAATTAAGCAAACTTTTGAACGATTCTTTAGTCATGTATCAAATGCTTTCACGTTTATCTCGGGAATTGGAAGCTTTTCCATTGTTGTTAAAACGACTTCTTGAAAACCTCTTTACACAATATATCGTTTCAATATGAACTGTAAAAAATTAAGTTTAACTGTTAGTTTTAAATTTTATTGGTAACACATACATTAATTTTGATATGTTATAAAACTCTTATAATTTCTCCCAACTCTCTTCAGATAAAAAATGTAATTTTCACCATCAAAGGTACTTGTAAATAGATAAGGACATGCTTATGATTCATATAATAAATTGATAACATTCCTTTAGTTACTCATAAATAAATTATATAAAATTATTAAATAAATATATATTTTTTATTTATATTGTATATAATTTGAGATATATTTTGTATACCTTATATACAGTGCCATGGCTACTAGATACAAGCCCCCCATTCCAAAAAAAAACCTGTCATAAGGGCCCCAAAATTCCTAAAAACAAAATAAAAATCTAAATAAAAATCTTAAAAAAAAAAATTCTTACATTTGTAAAAGGGTCCCTAAATTTGCAAATGAGCCCCCTAGACAAACATTTTTTAATTGACCTGAAAAAGTTTTATATTTGAAAGAGGGACATCTATCAAGTACCTAAAATTTAACTGTATTATTTCCTATATGTGCTAATGAATGGACATTGTACACTAGTTGATCCTTATGATAAAGTTCACATATAAAAAAAAGTAGCTGAAAAGCAAAATTAACATATTTTTTCAACAAAATGAAACATGAAAGTAGAACTACAACTGAAAAATCTAAAAAATTGAATACATTTTTGGCTAAACCATTCTCTTTAAACAACTGGTCAAGTGTTTACTATAAATAGTCTAAGCTCAGTTGTTTTCCATTTTTTAATATCTAATTAAGACCTTGATTTTCTATAAAAATTTCTTGGAATGTAATGACGTATCTGGAACAATCCACCAGATAAAGTATTGACTGTAATCTGAGACAATTTACAACATTTGGGCAATTTAACCATAAGTTGAGAAATCTTTGCATTACCCCTAAGCATACTAGATGCATTAAGTCTAAAGGAAACTTTGTCACCATGTCAAAATTTAATTCAATTTAACACACCACTAAGATGTTCAGAATGCTTTTAATGACGAAAAATCTGAATCAGTGCTTAAAATTAGTGAAATATGTAGGAGAATTATCTTGCCACACCACTCTCCTTTCTAAGCACAACATTCACATCAGTTATAACCATTGTGTCCTTTAATACACTTTACAAATGCTCTAGCTGGTGCATCACATATGATAACAGCAAGATTGATTTTAAACTCAATATTTTCATAGATAAAACCATCTTTTGCAAGAACTTTGAAATCTACCAAAAAATTATGTAGACAATTAAGGTGACCTGCTATTCTCATTTACTGAGTTTTTTTACTCTTTTTTCACAAACCGTACTTTTTTCAAATCCTATACTCTGAAAGTACTCATTTGTATAATTTTGTACTCATTTGTATTTCTAAAACATTTTTTTTATATTATTTCATTTTAATTTTATTAATTAAATATTTAAAATTATTTTGACAGTGATTTGAATTTCATGCGCACACATTGCTTGCCATTTCCAGCACGTCAGAGGACAGGGCAAACACCAGATACAAGTTTGACAGTGATTTAAATTTTCAACGCACATATGGCTGCCATTTTCAACACAATTAGGAGGCCGTATTATAAACCTGGAGAGATAGATAGATACTACAGACCTCTTTTTCTAACAATGTCAAAATTACATTTGTGAAAAGAGATGGATCCAACATTTGCATATGTAATCCCCAGGCTGATCTTTGATGTGCAGTATGTATGCCATGCTTGACAGTCTTGACGCATGCGCAGTATGTACAGCAAAGTTTTTTATCCATTTATTTAATTAAATAAAAGGATAACAAAAACCTTACTGTTCATACTATGCATGCGCTTATGGTTAATTAACCATAAAATCAAAAATTACGAACTTAATTATAATTTACAAATTTATGTTCGGTGTCACTCATATTAAAAACAAGTCAATGGAGCAACACCTTCATAAAATTAACAAATAAAATAAAAAATAATAAGAAAGAAAGAAAACTACATTAATACAAGTAATAAAAAAAGAATTATAAGGAACAATACTATTTAAAAAATTGGAATTAACACAAAAATATAAAAGAGTAACGCTAAGAAAAATGAAAAAAAAAAAGAGAAAAAGAATGGATGAGATAAGATGAGTGAGAAAATACGTAAGAGAAAACAAAAACTTAATCACATAAGTTCAGAAGGATAAAGTGACACAAAAATTTTTTTGCAGAAAAATATAAAAAAACAAATTAAAGGCAAACTTAAATAAAAAAATATATACATACACTACTATATACAATGTTAAAAGCTATATTAAAGCCTATAAACTGACCGCTTCGGAAGATTCCAATCCCGGGAAAAAAAAAAAAATTTAATAGAAGTTAAAAATTTTATAAAATTTGCTATGAATATATCGAAGAATGGATAATGAACTTAAGAGCATTGAATTGTTTTAAATGGACCCTTATAAATAGTAAAATTTAATGGAAAAAAGTTTCTCCAGCAGTTGAATTTGTAATAAAGGAAGTAAAAGATATTGTTATTAATGACAATTTTCTTTTTGAAGAAATTGGAAGAGTTTATTTTTAAATGAAGAAAAATTGAAGAAATGGAACAATGAGAAAATAGAACTTGAAAAAAGACGGGTAGAAATCTTTCGGCATTTTAGAGTAGAACATATACCACATGAAAATTTAAAAGTTTTAACAGAAATTTCTTTATGTTGTCCAGGCACTAATGCTGCTGTT